TGTTGTTCCAGGCCTACTTCGGCTACGCGCAGGAGTGACCCCAGGCAGGAGTGATCTTTGGTGCGCGGCCAAGGGGGGATCCTTTGAGGACGCCGCCAGGCGCGCAAGCTGCCGCTATCTCATCGCATTCAGCGATCAGGGGGCCACGTTGGGCCCGCACCAAAGGTCACTCCGGCGAAAGGTCACTCGTACGCGCAGTCGGCTACTTTTAGGTCGGGCATGTCCCCCTACAGGCGGATTTTGGACGAAAAACCAAGAACACCCCCCAAAATGCAGAAGATACCCCAAAATGGTCAAAACAATCGTCCCCACAGTACCTTTCTATTCAAAACTATTTCTGAATATTCCTCCTGTAGAGGGACAGGCCCGACCTAAAACTACTCAAGGAGGGTGTCTCCCAGGGGGGGCTCGAGCACCCAGCTCCGCGTGCCGGCCCTGCCGGGGCAAAGGACGCCCTCCTCTGGACAGTCTGCCCGCCCACCGCTGCGATGCCCGCCCCTGGGGCCAGAAACGCTGTGCGAACCTCCGGGCTAAACCAGGCTCGGCCATCGCAGTTCTCGATCCCTCGAAGACGAGGTCCTGTCTGGAAGGCCTCGCCCGGGGACGGGGGACGAGGCAACAGCGGTGCGACCGCTGCTCCAGGGAGCGTCACAGCCTTCGTGCCAGTGCGCACATGACAAATCTCGCAGAACAAACAAACTAGAAACATAAACTTCGGGAACTGGCGGCGCCTCCGCCGCCGATCCACGAAATCTGCGCGGGACTCCGAAAGCTGACGTTTATGCCGTTCTTCCCTCGGGGATGGACCGAACCGCCTTTCGTAAAACGTGGTTTAGTGAAAACGACCTCGGGCCCAAACCTGGCAGGCGCAAGCCTGGACAATGACGGTCGCGGCGCCCTCTCGAGAACCGGAAACGGACAATTCACTGATCGACGTGTCAGGGTGGGGGTTCTGTCCACAACCGGCTCTCTCCTTCGAATCACGCTGCTCAAGTCGGTTAGGGCCGCCGTAGCTAGTCGTATACCAGGGCGAGCTCGCAGGCGTCTGAAGAGACCCCCCGGGGAGGCAGGATGGCCTCTGAGAGGGCCCTCCTCCCTCCCGGAGTTCCTCGTGGCCCGTCTGCCCGAGCTGCGCCCCGCCGTGGCGACGAGGGCCTCCAGAAACGGCGACGAGGGCCTCCGATGCGACGACGCTGACGACGCCTCCAGACATCCGACGAATAGAATTACCCCAGTGCGACCCTACCTAGAAGTTGGAGCCCCTAGGAACGCAGCATTGGTTACTATGCTATGCTATGCTATGCTGTGCCATGCTATGCTGCGCTGCGCTGTGCTATGCTATGCTATAATATGCTATGCTATGCTGCGCTATGCTATGCTATGCTATGCTGTGCTATGCTATGCTGCGCTATGCTATGCTATGCTATGCTATGCTATGCTATGCTTGGCTATGTTATGCTATGCAATGCTATGCTGATGCAGCGCTGCGCTATGCTAAGCTAAGCTAAGCTAACCCTCTAGGCAGAGCCTAGGTAGGGAATTACACCCATGCTAAGGTTATGCTATGCTGCGCTATGCTATGCTATGCTAAGCTATGCTATGCTATGCTGTGCTCTGCTATACTAAAGCTCAGCGAAGCTAAGATGAAGGTAAGCTAGGCTAAGATAAACCTGAGCTAAGATGAAGCTAAACTAAGCTAAGATGAAATAAGCTAAACTAAGATGAGACAAGCAACGCTAAGCTAAGGGGACGCAACTGGGGGAACCGCGGGGCGGATCCTGGGGGAACCGCCCGGGGCGCGTTCCACTGCCCAGCCCCTTTAAGCCCAGAGAGTAAGAAACCTTCTAGGCAGAGCCTAGGTAGGGAAAAAGAGTCAGCTCCGTAAACATAACCTGGGCAAGCTCCGCGCGGATTTCTTGGATCCGCGCTGAACCTCCCTCCCTGGCGCGCGGAGCGCGCCAGGGGCGGCGCCGGAGGCCTCGCCAGGGGCTTCCAGCACAGATCCAAGAACTCCGCGCGGAGCTTCTCGAGTTTACAGGGCAGGTTTCAATACACGGGATTTGCAAACATTTGGGATTTTAACACGTGATTAATATATGAATACATTGATCCATGAATTCATCGTTGTTTTTAATGCTAGATCCCTGCATTTTTGATACACGATCCGCACGCGGAGCATGTATAAAAAACGGCACTGTATGTTTATGCCGTTTTTTGTTCTTCGAACGAAGTGACCCTTCCAATCCTCGGACCCCAGAACGTCTCGACCCCTTCGCCGAAGAGAGCTTCGCCTCAGATGCATTCTGGATGCCACCGGGGTTCGCAACGAGCTCCCCAGAGGCCATCTTCGAAGAGATGAGCCCGACTTCAAGGAAACGAGGCCGACTTCGAGGAAGAGAGGAATGGAGGGCAAAGACGGCGACGAAGACGACGAAGACGTCGTCGTCGTCTTCGTCGTCGTCGTCGTCGTCGTCGTCGTCGCCGTCTTTGTCGTTGCCCACCTCTGCAGGGGCAGCCAGCATCGAATCGCGAAATCGGGTCGGATCGGAACCAAGGGCTCCGAACTTCACGCTTCGCGCTGCGCGAAGCGCGAAGTGCGAGTAACTTCGCTCTCGCGCCGCCTCCCAGGGGAGAAGAGGAGGATGAGGAGGAATCGGAGCCGAACCACGAAGCGCGAATAACTTCGCGTCCTCGAGAGCGCCCTTGGGAACGCGTATCGAATGGGGCTGTATCGAGACGGAGTCGGAATCGGAACCGAATCGGCCACGCCAGGATGCACACACCACGCCGTGCAGGCCATGCGCCGCATCGGGCCGTGGGAGACTCAGCATCGAACCGAATCGGGCTGGCCAGAGCCGATTTCGAATCGGATCGATCGGATCGAAATTGACTCGGAGCTCGGCTTTCGGGTCATAGCTCGGGTCCCTGGCGGCCGCTCAGGACGATTCGGGGCCCCCCAGAACGCTCCCAGCGGGGCGCAGCCGTCGGAACGCATCCCGAGGCAGGGAAGCCTACGGGAACTTACGACAACGCACAGAAAAGCCTGATGTTCTGGTGGCGCGCCCAAGGGGGAAGGCAGAGGGGGCGGGCCTTCTTAGAGGGGTCGGAAGGCTTTCAGCCTTCCGAGAAACTCTCTACGCCTTCTTCGAAAACGCAGCGGGCTTCTCTCAGGGGGCCCAGGGACACGCAAATAAATACACACAAATAAAAGGATTCCCCATCTTATCCCATATTTTCTGGGCTTTCGTCTTCCCCCCCACTTCCCACATTTTCCCATATTTTCTGGGGAATCGCGGATTAATTGTGTCTGTGTGCTTCTTCCCCTCCTGATTCTCAGACAGCCCCGGGGCTTCCTGAGAAGCCCCGCCGCCTCCTGAGAAGGCCTGTCCCCTCTCGCCTCCCCCTCCGGCGCGCCGCGGAATCCCGGGACGGAGGGTCGAAGGCGGCCGCTGCTTCTTTGGGGAGGCGTAGGAGACTCTGACTCGGGGGGGCTCCTCCTCCTCCTCCTCCTCCTCCTCCTCCTCCTCCTCCTCCTCCTCCTCCTCCTCCTCCTCCTCTCCTCCTCCTCCTCCTCCTTCTCCTCCTCCTCCTCCTCCTCCTCCTCCTCCTCCTCCTCCTCCGGGCCATCAGGAAAATGGCGATGCGGGCAATACTTCTGCCCACATCCACTGCAGCATGGAGTTTCGGGCACCCCTCCCCAGAAACCCGAGGCACACTGGAGATGGATAAAAATCAGCCCCCTGGAGGCTCGATTCTTTACCCAGATCCAGTGCGCCGCGGCCTTGCGGCGCCCCTTCAAACAGAGTCCAAGACGCACTGAATATGGATACAGATTTAGGTCGGGCGTGTCCTCCTACATGCGGATTTTGGACGAAACAAAAATAAGTAAAACATTCTCAACAATTGTCAAAAATAGTCGAACAATCGTCCCCAAACTATTTTGCCACTGTTTTTGAATATTCCTCCTGTAGAGGGACATGCCCGACTTGAACATGGATATTGCCCGCAGACGGGACGAAACCCGACGCGAGCTCCCGCTGCAGAAACGCCCCTCGAACACTGGACCGTCCACGCCCAGGACGGGCCCGCCAACGAGAGGGCCGGATCACGCCAGAGCTCCGGCGAACTCGAGCCTCACGCTTCCCCGACTCTCCCCAACATGCGGGCCCCAATCGTATAATTCTACACCACCGCCACCGCCACCACCACCACCACCGCCACCACCACCACCACCACCACCGCCACCACCACCACCACCACCACCACCACCACCACCACCACCACCACCACCACCACCACCACCACCACCACCACCACCACCACCACCCACCACCACCACCACCACCACCACCACCACCACCACCACCACCACCACCACCACCACCACCACCACCACCACCACCACCACCACCACCACCACCACCATTCCCCCCCTCCACCCTCCACCCTCTTCCTCGCCTCTCTCCTGGGAGAGGGACGGGATGAGGGAGGCGGTGGTGGTGTGTACCCGTGGGCCCCCCATGCAGCAAGGACCGGGCGAGCGCACCGGCTCTCACGACGCAGGCCGGGGCCGCCAGGCCCCGAGATGCTCGAGCCACACGCACCTCGAGCGGAGAACGGGCAGCGCACACTGGCAGGTGCCACGAGCGCCCGTAGCCTCTCTCGGGTTGGACGAACGAGCGACGAACGAACGAACGAATGCCGGAATAGTGCGCGCTCTGGTGGGGAGCCTGCCCGTGCCCATCGGGGCGTGGCGTGGTGGAGCGTCGGCAAGCCTGAGTTCTGGCGAACTCTGTGCGTCGTCCTCCTCGTTGTCCTCGTCCTCGTCCTCGTCCTCGTCCTCGTCCTCGTCCTCGTCCTCGTCGTCGTCGTCGTCGTCGTCGTCGTCGTCGTCGTCGTCGTCGTCCCCGGCTTGCTGTGCGCCGCCGCGGTCCAGCTCTCGACGGTGGTCGCCATGGGCTCGCAGCCTGCCTCCTCCCGCGCCGCGGCGAGGGCCTCGGCCTCGCCCGCCTCCAGGCGCGGCGCCCAGGCGGAGTACCCCGCGCGCGCGAGTTCCTCGACCTCCACGGCCTCGGGCGGGAGGAGGAGGAGGAGGGGGAGGAGGAGGAGGAGGAGGAGGAGGAGGAGGAGGAGGAGGAGGAGGAGGAGGAGGAGGAGGAGGAGGAGGAGGAGGAGGAGGAGGAGGAGGAGGAGGAGGAGGAGGAGGAGGAGGCGGAGGAAGGGGAGGTTCCCACATATCCCCAAGGCGTGGCTGCTGCGCCCGGGCGCGCACCGCGCACCCACCCCCAGCGCCCCAGCGGCCGCCGAGGCCCCCCGCGCCAGGCGTGCCCGACGACGACGACGAAGTTGATGACGATGCCGATGCCGATGCTTAGAGTCTACACGAGTGGAGCGGCTGAAATGTGGAATTCTTTGGAGTCCCGAAGCGGTGCGGTGACAGACCGTGCGGTGACCTCGAACCCCCCAAGACCTCACCGCACGGTCCGTCAACGCACGGTCCTGGGACCTCGGAAGTCCCAATCGCCCGAGACGTCCTCAGAGAACGACCCGAGTCCCAAAACCGTGCGGTGACCCCGAATCCCCACCGACTCACTGCACGGTGTGGTCACCGCCCCATTGGGTGGCCCCCAAAATTCGTGTAGCAAGGAACATTTGCCGGCAGACTTGCCGGGAAGTCCATGCTCTGGGAGTCAACGCTGTTGGGAACTCGCTATGTCTCGGCAAAGTGGTAGGGACTCTCATGGATCGTGAAATCTGTATTGGTCTGTGTTGGCAAAAATGTTGGAGCTCCGTGTGCGTGTCGGTATTATTGTTGGGGTTCCTTGTATGCATTGGCAAAGTTGTTGGGGTTTCTAGCATGGGTTGTGCATGCACGTGCGGCACATGCTGGCTTGACTTTGAGGTTGGATAGCGAGGTGGCCAGAACGCTGCGCGTGCTGATTGCATTGTCGGAAAGCGTTGGGCGCTTGTTGATGTTAGCTGAAGGCGCTGGGGAGCTAGTTGGCATACCAATAGATGGTCATTTGTGATTTAGGTTCGGGGTGCATCGCTACGTTTTGGTGCTTGAGACTCTCGAGTCAGTGCGGACCTCAGGCCCATAAACAACTCACACGGGATCTGGGCGACGCGATAAGGAAGCCCGGCCTGTTTGGCCTTTTGTTGTTTAGTTTTCTGCAGTTTTGCTTCGCCCACCAGGGTTCGCGCAGCCCTAATGCATTTTTGGTACACTTGGTGTCTGGTTTTGTGCTGCGGTGTTTGCCCCGCTGTAGCGGCGCGCTACAATGTTTTTATTGTTTTTGTTTTTGTTTGCATACAACCAGGTGCTGACCACCCTCTCCCCTGTTCACCTCCAGGCCCCTGGCCGCCCATCGCCCTCCACCTTGTCCTTCTTCCCTGGACTCTGACTCGGGCTCCTCGTTCCACTCGGCTCCCCCCCCCCTCCTCCTCGTACTCGTCGTCGTGGCCCTCCTATGCCGCTGTGCGCGAGGCTTAGGCAAGTCCTGCTCGACCACCCTCTGGCTCCTGGTCCTCCCCCTCCTCCTTAGCCTCCGTCATTCTCATCCTCCTCCGCCCCCCCTCTCCCCCTCGTCCTCGTCCTCTTCCTCCTCCTCCTCTTGTTTGCCTCCCCTTCTCCTGCCGCCTGCCTCTTGACTCGTGCCTCCTCTCCTGCACCCTCGTCGTCACTTGCCGCCTCGCCCTTTCTCCCTTCCTCCTTTTCGCCCCTTATCGTCTTTGGGAACAAACGGAAAAAAGGAAGCTGGTGACGACAATGCTAATGACAACTATGCGTATCATCAGGACGCTAGCGGTGATGACGATGACGATGACGATGCTGACGGTTCTGGCTATGACGATTCTGACTATCACGGTGATGGTGGATATGGTGATGGTGATGGCTATGACATGATGATGATGATGATGATGATGATGATGATGATGATGATGATGATGATGATGATGATGACGGTGCTGATGATGATGGGGATGGATCTGGTGATGGCGACGATGATGATGATGATGATGATGATGATGATGATGATGATGATGATGATGATGATGATGATGATGATGATGATGATGATTGTGACGATGACGGTGACGATGGTGATAACCGACAGTATCTGTCATGTGGTTCGTCCACAGCAGCCCACTTGGACGTGGCGTGACGGGCTGCTGCACGGAAGCCATCAAACTGCTCCTTGTGCAGCTGCTGGCCAGGCTCGTGCACGGCCTGGGCTTTTGTGATGCACGTGGAGCGCCAAGACACAACGCCTCAGCTCAGCTAATCGCACAGTTGGCGGTCTCGTAATCGTCCGGGGCCGCGAGGCCCAGCATGTGAATGGGACAAGTAGAGAAGTCAAGAAAACGTCGAAGGACAAGACTCGGGAGCGGCCAAGACGGGGGTGTCCAAGAGGGGGGGGTGCAAATCATGACCGGCGGCACGTGCGCGGCCCAGCGGGGGGGCCAGGGACGTAACGAAATAAGAAGGGGCGCCATGAAATCTGGGGAAATATCATGGCCCCCGCCATGATATCCACCCCCCCCTAGTCATCACCCCCCTCTTTGCCGCCCCCGAAAGACAAGAGAGGTATTGGGCAATCGCGCCGGGCACATCTGCGAGTCCGAACAGGCAGGATGCGGTGCCACAGGCGTGCACGCGGTGCGTGGTGGTCCACCCTCCTGCGAGGGTTTTGAACGCTGACCGTTGCCATGATGGGCGCTGCGTCCGGAAGACCGAGGGACGCTCCGCCCACCGTTCCCCAACCGTCCCCGGTATCTGCTGCGCCAAGCCCCATGCACGCAGTCGCTTGCTAATGGTGAGCTGGAAATCGGGAGGGAAGAAGGCGCGGCGAAGGGAAGTGGAGAAGATGCGCTGCACTTTAGCCTTGCGACCAGCGGCGCGGGCATGACTGAGCTCATCGCGGGCCGCAGCCGCAGCACTCATCCGCTGCGTGTCACTGACGCTAGGATCGGATGAATGCTTCTTGTGCGATTGAAGCCGTTGCAAAATGCTTTGCGAAATCTTCCAGCAATGTTCGCTTCACCTCTGCTGGATCCAATCCACGAGCGGGAGGTCTCTCACCGCTTGTTCTGACCAGGGGCGAAGCTCTTCTTCCCATCCCGCCTGCGTGTCATGCGCGCAGCGCCAAGGGCTCGCCAAGCTGAGGATCTGCGCTGAGACTGGTGAGACGAGCGCATGATCCCTGAATGCAAAGAGGTCCGCCTTCCGAAAAGTGCGCGGTGGAATGCCCAGGAGTTTGTGTAGTGCGGATTTCTCCTTCAGCAGCGCCCATCGAGGAATTGGGTAGAGCTGCGCGAGATAGCTCAACACCGACAGGGCAGTGCTGTTATATAACAAGAGACTCGCGGTAGTCGGGCTATCTGCAGCTGGAATCTCACATGTGCGCGCCCACGAGCGGCGTCAGTCAAAATGGCGGCCTCAGTGGCCCTGGGCCCGAATTGGACAGATATTTCGCGTGCGATGCGATAGAGATGTCCGCCCGCGTCGGAATGTGACGTCCGAGGAAGCTCCGAACGCGTGCGACTACAGCGGCGGAGATGGGCCAGGCGTTCGGCCGCTGGAAAGACTGGAAACGCTCGGCAAATCAGCCAATCCAGGCTGTACAAGGCCAGCGTCATCATCGCATCTCCCCACGACCCCACGACGCTCACCCAGGGGCGACGACGAAACCTCCCCCGCTAAGTGTCTCAATATAGGGTCCACTGCTATGGCCCAGACCGAGCCTGACAGCGGGTGTCCTTCACATAAACTGCTGCTCGCCATTGGCTGTGGCAAAGCTCCTGGGAGCTTAATGAAGATACCCAAATCAGGTTACGAAATCCCGCGGGGGGCCCAAAGCGTTCCAACAAGGTCCATGGCCAATCATGGCACAGGGAAGGAACGCGGCAACAATGTCAAACGCAATGCCAAATTCGACATTCTGCTCGGGAATTTCGCGCTTGCTCGCGCGCCCACCAGCCGTGTCAAGACGGGTCAGATTGCTTAGAGAGCTCCGTCTGGGGACAAAATCCTGCTGGACCTCGTGAGCGCGTTCCTGCGCTAGACGCTTGAGCTTGTAATTCGCAGCAGCTGCGAGGATTTCCGAATCAGCGTCGCGCGGCGACAGGGGCCTGATTTGAAAAAAGGGCATCCTGATGCATCGGCGCGCGGCGAGGGGCTTCTTGCCCGTCGGAAGAGAAGGCAAAGAGGGGGTCATCCAGGGGCTCAAGAATAAAATGGCCTGCCATCAGATGTCTCAGGGTCCCGTGGGGCACGAGGGGCAATTGTCGGAAACCATCGAAACTTTGTGAGGGGTCCTATATGGGCCAGTTGCGCTGTGTCGTGCATGTTTGAAGGCCATCTTGAGGTCCTCGGTTCTGGGGGCGGCGATGTCTGCCATGCTCTGGGCCTTTAGAACTCCTCAAGATGGTTCAGGATGTCCAGCTTGTTGGCCGGCTTGGCCCGAAATACGTTGGCCCAGCGAGCCTTCGGAGTCTCGAGAATCTCCGCAGGGGGCTCCGCTGCGACCTGCTCGTCAGGGCCCGCAGAGTGCCCAGGGCGAATGCCCGATATCATATGTCTGCTTCCCTTGGGTCTCCATGGCATGGCTCGTTGGCGAAAGGCCTTCTGATATTTGGGGTGAGCAGCAGCTCCCAGATGGTCGCCAGCGCGCTGAGCCTGTTGGGCAGCCCGCGCTGCACAATGTTGTGCGACCGCCAGTTCCAGCGGCATGAAGAGAGTGAAATTTGCTACGAAATTCATCGTAGTGAAACAGCCGAACCTGTCCATCATCAATCTGAAGAAGTCGAGCCCCTTCCTCTGTGGTCGGTTGGATCAAGGCAGCAAGAGGAGTGTGCTGCCGCCAAACCGCTCGTGAAATACTCCTCATTGTGATCGTTCTCCCACCTCGAGCTCTGCGATCATTGGGTCGACATGGCAATTGTTGAAAATCGTCTCGAGTCTGGCGAGCAGCCTCTATCATGAAGTCCTTCGCGTGGAGCCACTGCTGGACGGGCGAGAGGCGCTCTAAATCAGCGACGGCGATCAGGCTGTCCAGTGTTTCCTTGAACCTTCCGTCGCTGAAAACCACAGCGGGGATGCGATGTTCGGCGGCATTAGATGGTGCCTTGGTGCGGGGCGGGAGGCAGAGCATGGGGTGGCCGGTCGGCCTGGCCTGCGACATCACCATGGGGTCTGCATCGATCGTGACGAAAACATCAGAGTCCATCGTGTAGTACTCAGGAATACCAATGAAGATCCTGCCAATCGCCGAGGCTGTGTACTGTTGGCGGCTGAAGTGCGTCGGTATGAGTGCACGGATTTTCTGCAACATGTCGAGGAGTGGCCGCCAGGACATCTCCAGTGGCGGATCCGTGCGGCTGGTAGGTAGGGGGTCCGTCATCGCGATCGGCTCGTCATCACCGTAGGGGCTGCCCTCCCTGATGATGAAGTCGCCCATGGCGATGAAGGTGCGCGGGATGGGGTCAGCGGGGTTCCATGGCGCGGAGGATGTCCAGTCGTGCGCGATGTCGCCGCGCTTGTTAGCAGGTCTGCCATAGTTGTGGGCGTTCAGGATCTTCATGCAACCGCCGCGGTTGGCACGTGTAATCTCCGGTGCGGCGGCTCGACCAGGTGCGATATGATGAAACTGGGCAGCAGGGCGGAGCTCGCCAGGGAGCGACCTCGGCCATGTCGCCAGAAAGGCGACGCCTCCCTCGCGCGAAAGTGAGGCCGTGGAGTGCAAGAGCCTGTGCTGGTACGGCGAGCCGGCGATCAAGACCTCCAGCTGTTGTCGGACTCCGTGGGTTTCCGGAAGAAGGGTAAGGTCACCTTTCTTCATGTGGCGCTCGGGCTTGTGCAGCTTGCGTTTGCGCTTGCGCGCCTGGTGGCAGCAGGGCGACCGAACGTTTCATGGCGCAATGTAGGCGCTCCGCGTGCTCGGTGACGCGCTCCGCGGAGTCCAGCGAAGGCTGCGCGCACCGCGGTGAAGTGTCGGTGGCACGAAAGAGTCGTTGGAACTCGGCGGCGGCAGCGGCTCTGCCCACTCGCAGCCGCTGGGCGACTTGTCCATCCCATCGTAGTTATGTTCTGTCTGCTGCGCTGGCGCCAATACCGTGCGCGACGGGCGGGGTCGAGTCAATGGAAATGATGCCCTCATTGCCGACTTTGCGGAAGTGGTGCGCAAGATGGCGTTTTGAGATAAGCGTGGCTAGTGCATTTGTTTGTAATTCTCTGCTATGTTGTTGTGGCGACTTGCCTGCGTTGACGTCGAGGGGTGTGATCGCTCCTGATGTATTGGGCACTGTGAATGCTCTCCGCTGGCCGCCAGCGCGTAAGTTGCGACAGAGAGAGATTCTCCTGGGCGAGGCTGCTTGTCCACCGATCACGCGTAGGAAAAAACCTCCTGGCGGGCACGTCGCCGATGAATGCGACGTCGCTGGTAGATGCCCCTGCTGCTGAGAGCCGTGGCTCAAGTGAGCGACGGACCTCAGCAGGTTGAAGTGCGGACGGCGCCCCGATGCTATAGAGGTGCGGGTCTGGCGGCCTGTCCCGTGCGGCGAGCGCCGCCATGTCCAGCGGTGGGCGTGGCCTCGGCCATGGCGAGGGACGACTGGATGCAATCAATGTCCGTCTTGAGCTGCTGCTGCTCTTGCTCGACAATGTGCGTGCGGTTGCCGAGGTCGCGCATGCAGGTGTCGATGCCGTCGATGCGCTGGTTCTGCTGCTGCACCTGTGAATTGACGTGTTTGCACTCACTCTGCCACGCGGAGGTGGCTGACTGCATGATGGCGGTAGTTTCTTGTTGAAGGCGTTGTATAGCACGCTGCGTGTGATCCGCGAAGGCAGCGGGAAGGCGATCCTCGATAGGGATGGGGTCACGGGCGACGCCATCAGCACATGGTTGAGCAGCAGTTCCTGCTTTAGGCCTGGGCGTGTCCATGGGAGTCGCGGTGCCCCATGGATCTTGTCGTTGGAGGGGATCATCTGCTTGCTGCTGCAGTTCACCTTCACGGAAGGTAGAGAAGAGCTCGATGTCCCGTAGCAGCTGTTGTTCGTCATCTCGTTGGCGTTGTCGCTGGGGCTCTCTTTGCTGTGTCGCAGGGCCTCCAGAGGTTCCCGTACGTCCGTCGGCTGGCGTGGCCTGGCGTTCGTCATGCGGTCGAGGGGCTCGCTGGTCACGGGCAAATCGCCTTTCGGGTTCACGGCGAGCCTGGGGATGTGTGACGGTGCTGTCGTCGAGTGTCACGATCACCGCGGGAACCGCTGGCGTCGCCTTCTCGTCTGTGCTGGCGACGACGTTGTGGGACACGTGCAGGTGTGGAGGATGACCCAGAACCGCTGCTCGATGCCATAGTGACAAAAACCTTCGTGGCCACAGCGGCGGAGCTGCCGGTCTTGCCGTGGGCAACCTTATCGCAGCACCTCCTGTGAACGAGCAGCAGAAGATGACAATAATACGGATGAGAGTATGGAGGGTTGGGCGGCAGCTCGCCCGTTGCTGTAGCTGCAAACACATGACAGCACATGTTCTGGATGGGATGGGAGCCTAGCCCGCTAATGCACTTCTAATCACCTGAATGGCTCCTTGAGCCAACATGGTTACGGATGATGATGATGATGATGATGATGATGATGATGATGATGATGATGATGATGCTAATGCTGGTGACGAGAACGATGATGCTGTATACGAGGATGATAATGATGATGACAGTGATGACAACGACTGCGATGACAACGATGATACGGCTGATGATGCTTGCAATGGCAAGTCGTACGATGACAATTACGGTGGTGATGAGGATGAGGATGAGCAAGTCTGATGATGATGACGATGGTGATGGTGACGCTGATGACGGTAATGCCGAGGAACGTAACCATGGTCATGACAATGAGTACGATGATGCTGGAATTTCCGCGGCGGGCATGGCGTTCGCCGCGGGTCAAGAAGAAACGTCTGGCGGCCCGCGCCGTCGGCGTCGCCCCCGCGCGCACGGGCTCAGCGGTGGCACGGAGGGGTGGGCGGCGGATGGCAGCAGCACGGCGAGGAGGAGGAGGATGAGGAGGAGGAGGAGGAAGAGGAGGAGGAGGAGGAGGAGTACGCGGTACAGGTCCTGCAGCCTTCCCCCCTGGCTGCCAGAACCCACTGTACTAAAAGTCCTCCAGACTTTTTCTAGCCACTGGCCGCGCTCGTCGATGACTTTGGCACCGGAAGGCGGCCCGGCTCAAGAGATGTGCCCCTGGCGTTGCGAGCAAGCCTGCTCTTCAATAAAGAGCGTTGTGTGAGAAGGACAAGGAGGAGGAGGGGAAGAAGGAGGAGGAGGAGGAGGAGAAGGTGGAGGAGGAGTGAGAGGAGAGGAGGAGAAGGACGAGGATGAGAAGGAGGAGGAGGAGGGAAATGAAAGAAAGCCGATGAGGAGAGGAGAAGGAGAAGGAAGAAGAGGGGGAGGATGAGGAGAGTAGGAGGAAGAGGAAGAGGAGGAAGATGAGGAGGGGGAGGAAGAGGAGGAGGAGGAGGAGGAGGAGGAGGAGGAGGAGGAGGAGGAGGAGGAGGAGGACGAGGAGGGAACCGAGAATACGCCGAGGTGGGAGGAGTGGAACGCCGAGGACGCCGCAGAACCGCTGGCGGGCGGCTGAAACATCAAGCTCCGGGCGCGCTGCTCGCCTCTACGCCCTCTCGGGGTCTATGATCCCGAACTCCTTGTCCAGGACGGCGATAATCTCCTCCTTCGGGTTCTCTGACAACTTCAACTTCTGACCCACTATCTTCTCCGCAATGCCAACGTACAGCGCCGACGCATCCATCAAGACGGAGGCTGGGAGAGCGTTGTCTCTTGCCAGGGCCTTGCGCTCCTCCATTCTGTCCTTGTTCAGCATGATGTCTGGGTCGGGGAAGTGACCGCTGGTCAGGAGCCATTGCCGGAAGCCCTCCTTGGACTCCTCGACCACCTTGCCGTTTCTGAACGATGCCCCATCCCATATTCTGGAGGAGTCTGGCGTGCCCACCTCGTCCATGTATATCAGCTTGCTGCCGCCGGCTTTGTCGCGCACGTAGCCGAACTCGAATTTAGTGTCGACGAAGATCTGGTCCAGCTGGGCGAGCGCCTCACTGATCACCTGGAAGCCCTCCTTGAGCAACCTCTCGTACACGTCGATGTGTTCGACGCTGGTGAAGTTGAAGGACTGGTAACTCTTCTCGATGTCCGCGCGGGAGATGTTGACGTCGTCCACCTCTGGCACGCCCGGGATGCCCGTCAGGATGCCCTTCGTTGATGGTGTGATGAGCACCTCTGAGGGGGAACGTTCGGGAGGGACCCGCTCAGGGGGGGAGAAACTTCGATCTGAAATCGGGGATACATCGACGACATATCGGCGACAGGCCCTCGATAGCAAATTCGTACGGTCCTGGGCGGGGTGGGGTATCGAGCCCTGATCGGCGATCAATGGGCGACTGGGGGTCGATGCATCCCCCCTGAGCCTGTCCCATCCTATCGTTGCCCCTGAACCTCTGGGAGCTTCTGGTTGTTGCTGAGCCCCTCGGGCAGCTTGATGCCGCAGAAGTCGCGTTCCCCCTTGCTGTAGGCCCTCCACATCGAGCCGGTGATGTACTGACGGCAGATGGCCTCGATCTTCACGGGCGTAGCCTTCTGCACGATCCACACCAGCGGGTGCGGGATGTCGAGGATGTGGCTGTCCGCGAGGCCCTTCTCGCGGAACAACCTGAACCAATGGTTGGAGATCGCGTTCAGGGCGGCTCCCTTGCCGGGAACTCCGTCGAGGCCACCCTCGCCGTGCCAGATGACGTCGAAGGCGGACATGCGGTCGCTGATGACCATTACGGCCAAAGACGCCCCCTCGGCGACATCGTAGCCCTTCTCCTTGATGAGGCGCTGGCTGTCCGCGGCGGTCAGCCAATACACGGCGCGCACCTTGCCGCTGTGCACGGGTTGGTCGGTGCGGATGGGCAAGTCGTCGTTCACGGCCAGGACCCGACTCATCGCGCTGCGCCTTGGACTCTGTCTGGCCGCGGCGCCGAGCAGCTCGGCTCGCTGGAGCAGAAAAAATAGGGTTGAGCCTAACTGGCTCATGATTACGAGAATGACGGTGATGACGGTGGCAAGACCCTGAGATCTGGGCGCCGTCTTTTGTCACACCAAGCGTTCTCGCCAGGTGCCAGTCCTCGGGGCCTCGCAGATCCACTCAGCTCAAGAGCTGCGGCAGGAAGATGGGATCCAGGGCTCTGGTCGTGGCTCTTCACGATGCTGCGTTTCCTCAGCGACGTCGGGGAGAGAACACCGAGACTTCGCGCGGAGTTTTTTTTTTGGGGGGTAATTCAAAACATGTGCTCACACACATATATATACATATATACATATATATATAGACACATATATATATAAATCCCAGCGTTGATCTCTTGTTCCAGCCTCCAGGGCCGCTCTCAGGCCCCAGGACGATGAAATGCAGTACTGACCTGGGAGGCAAAACGGCCCCCCGAGGCGAGGGCAGAAATCCCTGGGGCCCGCGAGCCACGAAAGCCAAATGCGCCACAAGCCTGGGAAGGATCGGCTGCGCGCCGTGACCCCAAGGCAGGCGAGACCTTCGGCGCGCGACTCTCGGGGGCCGCGGGGAGACCGACCCCGAGCGCACAAGCCGTTGCTGTCGCGTCGCGTTCCCCGACCTGGGGACCCTGGCGCGCCCACACCACCAAGGTCACTCCGACGAGGGGGCGCCTCTTGCGCGCAGCCGCAAAAGGACCGCCATGCCACCCGCGCTCCGCGCCCCCGCCCGACCTCCCTCCTTCTCTCTCCCCTCTCTCCTCCTCCTCCTCCTCCTCCTCCTCCTCCTCCTCCCCTCCTCCTCCTCTCTTCTTCTCTCTCCTCCTCCTCGTCCTCCTCCTCCTCCTTCTCCTCCTCCTCCTCCTTCTCCTCCTTTTCCTCGTCCTCCTCCCCCTCCTCCTCCTCCTCCTCCTGCTCCTCCTCCATTCCGTCTCCTTATAACTAACTTCCCCCTGTCGCACCCTGAGGCCAATTTTTAGGGCGGGCCGCGCGTTTCGCCTGACACTTCCTCACCATTTAAATGACCCTGAAATTTAAACATTGGCAGCTGTTTCACGGATTGAGGGCGGGTCGTTTTCAAAATGTGGCTCTCGCCTTAGCGCCGCGCACATTCGTTTTCACCATTTGCAAGAGTTTCACGGATTGAGGGCGGGTCGTTTTCACATTGTGGCTCTCGCCTTAGCGCCGCGCACATTCGTTTCCAACATTTGCAAGAGTTTCGCGGATTGAGGGCGGGCCGTTTTCACATTGTGGCTCTCGCCTTAGCGCCGCGCACATTCGGTTTCAACATTTGCATGAGTTTCACGGATTGAGGGCGGGTCGTTTTCAAAATGTGGCTCTCGCCTTCGCACCACGCACACTCGTTTTCAACATTTGCAAACGAGTTTCACGGATTGAGGGCGGGTCGTTCTCAAAATGTGGCTCTCGCCATCGCGCCGCGCACATTCGTTTTCAATTTTTGCATGAGTTCACGGATTGAGTGCAGTTCCTTTTCAAAACGTGGCTCTCGCCCTAGCGCGGCGCACATTCTTGCTAAACATTGCAAGAGTTTCACGGATTTTCATAATCGACGTTCCAGAAATCATGTTTTGGAAGGATTCACGATTTTGAGGGCGCAGCTGTTATGATGGTTCGCGGAGCTGAGGTCCCACGAATGGATTTGGCACGATTCAGGATCATCAAGGCGCAACAGTCAGGTTCATCCGTGGCGTTGGGATACCGAGAGCAACGTTTTGGCATGCGTCAGGGTCTTCAAACGGTTGTCTTCCAACGATGCAGGTCCCTCTGTGGAAATGAACCGTTGCAGGGGCCTGTGAAGAGGGAGCTTGGGGGGAGGGTGTACTCCAACATCGTTGGTGACTCTTGGGTTTACACTGGTCCTCCTCCTTCTCCTCCTCCTCCTCCTCTTCCTCCTCCTCCTCCTCACTCCTCCTCCTCCTCCTCCTCCTCCTCCTCCTCCTCCTCCTCCTCCTCCTCCTCCTCCTCCTCCCCCTCCCCCTCCCCCTCCCCCTCCACCGCTCCCTGCGCTGCCGATCTCGGGCCCTCGGCCCGCTCCTCGGCCCTGCGTGTCGCCCCTCCGCCGCTGCCCTCTCAGGCCCCCCTCTGCAGGCCATCCGCCACCGACGCTAGCATGCGAGACTAAAGGCCTCCCAGACGGGGTTCGCCGCCGCATCGCCGCCGCGTTGCCGATTCATACTGTATCGCCGATGCCTCTGTGATGCGGAGAAAATCGGGCCCCACATCGAGCGGCATCGCCGATGCATCGCCGATGCATCGGCGATGCGGCGCGATCCTCCGACCCCACCTGCTCGGACCCCACTTGGGAGGCCTGGACTCACGCGAGATGACGTCATGTCAACATGGGGGGCACGGGTCCTTTGGGAAACGGGTTCTGGACTCTGGGGCCTTCTGTGAGGACGACCTTTTCTGAAGGTCCCAGGGTCCGTGGAGGGCCCCGGGAGACCGAACACGGCAACAAAACCTGAGGACCCGTTTCCCTCAGTAGGGGAATGAAGCAAAAGCATAAACATAAAAACTCGAAGGTCCGCGCGGATTTCTTGGATCTGCGCTGGACCCCCTTCCCTGGCGCGCGGAGCGCGCCAGGGGCGGCGCCGGAGGCGCCGCCAGGGGGATCCAGCGCCGATCCGAGGAATCCGCGCGGACCTTCGAGTTTTATGTTCATGTCATTGTTCGTTCCCCGAGCTTCCCCCCCATGGCGAGTCATGACCTCGCGCGGTGGCTTGCGCAGGCCGCCGGTGCGGAGCGCTGCGGCGCCTGCTCCCTGCCGTGCCTCGCGCGCGCGAGGAGCGCGGGGGCCCTGGTCGAGCCTGGCCCACCCCGGGCCCCAGGGGGTCTCTCCAGAGGGGGAGGAGGAGGAGGAGGAGGAGGAGGAGGAGGAGGAGGAGGAGGAGGAGGAGGAGGAGGAGGATGGAGCTGAGGATGAGGATGAGGAGGATGAGAGGATGAGGATGAGGATGATGATGATGATGATGATGATGATGATGATGATGATGATGAGATGATGATGATTGATGATGATGCTGATGATGATTGATTCATGATGATGATGGTGATGTGATGGTGATAGGTGATGAGTATGAGGATGAGGATTGAGGAGCGAGGAGGAGAGGAGGCGAGGAGGTGGATGGGAAGGAGGAGGAGGAGGAGGAGGAGGAGGAGGAGGAGGAGGAGGAGGAGGATTCTGCTATGAGGATTCTGCTACCCTGATCTGCTGCGCTATGAGCAAGAGAGCGCAACCGACGAAAGATGGGCCTCACCATCCCCCAGGCCTCTCCTGAGCGACATGGGTTGGCCGCGCTGCGTTGTCACTGATGACGTGCGTCCCAGCTCTTGCAACCCTGCTGTGCACGGCTGCTCCCCTGGCCATTTCGCGCACGAGCTGATCCCAGCGTTGAGGCTGATGATGTATGCTCCTGCCCTTGTCGCGTTCTCGCAGTACCAGATCCTGCTGCCACTGCTTTCCCTTCTCGCATTGCCAGCTTCTGCTGCCACTGCGTTGCTTCGCACACGAACGGATCCCAGCGTTGTAACTGATGATGTCCGCTCCCGCACTTTCCTCTTGCTGAGCGGCGGCAGAGACTGCTGCCACCTCTCACCCCTCTCGCACGTGCTGCTCCCAACACTGTTCTGACGACCTCGGGCTCCAGCTTCGCATCCCGCTTCCCGCAGAGTAGTGCCGGATCCTTCTGTCAGAATTTGCCCTTCTCGCACGCCCTGCTTCCAGCGCTGTAGCTGATATTGGGCTCTAGCTCCGCCTTCCCCATCTCGCTGAGTAGCCACAGAGAGTGCGGCCCCTGCGCAACGTTCTGGCACGCGCTGCACCCAGCGCTGTAGCTGATGACGTCTGGCTGCGGCTTCGCCTCCGCTGCCTCGCTGAGTGACGACTATACTTGGGCTCCAGCTTTGCCCCCCGCTTCTCGCATAGGGCCCCGGAGCTCTCGACCCAGCATTCTCGCACGCGCAGTGCCGAGCAGGTTAGCTAGATAGCATTTGGCTCCAGCTTCAACCCTCGGCCATTTCGCGCATGAGCGAACCCCAGCACTGTAGCTGATGATGCGTCGCCCCTGCTTTCCGCTTGCCCCTTCTGCACGTTCGCACACGAGCTGATCCCAGCGCTGTAACTGAATATGTCCGCTCCTGCACTTGACATTTTCTCGCAATGCCAGATCCTGCTGCCACTGCATGCCCTTCTCGCTTTGCCAGCTCCTGCTGCCACTGCTTGCCTTCGCACCCGAGCTGATCCCAGCTTGGTAGCTGATGACGTTACTCGTGCACTGCTCGCCTTCCTTACATGTCTTCACCTTGCCCTGATCCCAACGCTGTGGCTGATGGCATCGGGCTCGTCCTTGATCGGCCTCCCCCCTCACTGCCGGCTTCCAACGTCGCGTCGGATGTAGCTGACGGCATCGGGCTCGTCCTTCACCTGGACACAATGCCAGCGCCTGCTGCCACTGCCTGCCTTCTTGCTCGCACGGGCTGCTCCCAGCGTTGTTGCTGATCGTGGCCCACCCGCACTTTTCTCGCAGCGCCAGCGTCGGCTGCCACTGCTTGCCCCCTTTCTCCCACGGGCTGCTCCCAGCGGTCCTGCTGATCGTGGCCCACCCGCAGTTTCTTCGCAGCGCCAGCGCCAACTGCCACTGCTTGCCTTCTCGCACGGCCTGATCCCTACACTGTAGCTGATCAAGCCCATGTCTTGCCTGCACTTCCGCCGCGGCACTCGGATGGCCGGCGCTGCAGCTCGCCAGACTGACGAGGGGAAGGGGAAGGAGGAGCAAGAGGACGACGAGGGAAAGGAATGGAGGGCGGAGGAAACCCAGTCTCCTGGCGGGTGCGCTCGCGCCTGATCTCAGCATTGTGGCTGATGACGTGGGGCGCCACGCCTCTCGATGTCGGCTCTCGCGAGCAGGGCCATTTCGAAG